TCTTCGGAATCCACCAACACCAATACCACCCCTCAAATAGATCTTCCATGCCATAGAAGCAACTCTAATATAGTACCAATCAGGGTCATATGGAGCAAGCTCTTTGAGTTTACCAGTCTTGACGAGATCAGTCCACTCGGGAAGCTCCATCTTGCCGGAACGCTTGAGGTGAGCGGCATCAGCCTTCACAAATTCGTGAGGGGAAACATCTTTCACGGTTTTCGCTGCCTCCATCGTCACTTCTGCTGCTGTTGTGGCGCCGATGCAGATCTCTCTTCACGTTCCTTTTTTGTATTTGTAACTTTTTTTTTCTGATTTTGTATTTAAAAATGGGACCCACAAATAATACATGGCAAATAATAAATAGCTTAGCATGATGTGTTGTACATGTCAGCGCAATTGATATACACGCTCTGATGAATGTTTTTATTAGTACTCATTTTGTCAAGTTGGAGTGTTCAAATGGAAATATTCAAAGTTCGTGTATCGACTTTCAAAAGCCCTACAAGTTTAAGTGGCCAGGAAACTATTACGCCTAGCATATGCTTGGTTTATGTTTGGTAAAGGCCTTGTCATAAGAATCTGATCCTTGGCATTCTCATAGGAATCATTCAGTCATGTTAAGAACTTATATAGCTTTTGCAATTGATAATGTTGACAGACTCTGGACATTCACACGAAGGAGGAGGGGCTAGAGTTTCATACTCATCCAACAATTCCCTAAGTTTCGAAAAATACACAGATATAGAAGATATGCCTTGAGTTAATGCAGCAATCTCTTTATGTAAATAACAAGCTCTAGAGGCATTCACTTTATCAAACCTCTCTTTGAGATCTTCCCACACCTTATGAGCATCAGATGCATAAATCACAATACTAATTAAACTAGGAGATACTGAGTTCATTATCCAAGCTAGAACAATAGCGTTGCATCTGTCCCAAAGTTCATGTAAGGTAGATTCATACATTTCTCTTCTACAGGTTCCTAAAACAAAACCTAGTTTGTTTTTACCATGTAAAACAATCTTCATTGACCGACCCCAAATTAAGTAATTTTCAGAACCTTGAAGTTGAATTGAGATAAGAACAGATCCTTGAGTATCTGAAGGATGAATATACAGAGGATGATTATGATGTACCAGATCTGGAGGAAGTAGTGCTTGAGCCTGAGTTGCAGTCGCCATAGGAGGAGTTGAAGTCGAGATTCCATCATCGATTGCCATTGTAGACAGTATAGATCGTATTGCTCTCCCATAAATGAGATGATTTAGTTCGCAAATGACTCAAATTCAACAGAAATCGACACTAATCAAGCGAACCCTAACTTCAAGGAAATTGCTGAAAAATTGAAAGGAACAGAGAAAGGAAGCTATTAACCAGCGATCTTCCTCTCCTGAAGCTGCTGAGTTACTCGATCTAGCCTTGAGGCTCTGATACCATGTTGAGCTACGCAGCCATGGCGGAAGAAGAAGAAGAAAGTCGGTGAAGAAGAAATGAGAGCTTTATTCTCTGTATTGGAAGAAAAACCGTTCCAACTTATTCTCTCAGCTACTGTACACATAGCTAACTTCTATTTATACTATTCACTAACTAACTAACTACACAGTATTAAATTAACTACTAGACTGTACAGTTGTTTCTTTTACAAAATGGTATACCAATAAGTAGAGAATCCACAAAGAGAAAGATTACAAAGGATTCCTATTATTGGCCCCAACTATGCGAAGGACTGAGGTATAGTTGATTGTTAGAATGTTTCAGTTGGGTTGTCTCTTTTAGCGTCATCGTGCAACCACATCAAAACTCTGGTTCTTGTCTACTCATGGCATACAACGATGCACCTAAGAAACTTTATTATTATTACTCTTATTACTATATTTCTACAGCACATTTTTGATCATTTAGCTTAGATTTGCTTTCTACTATTAGTAAATTACAGATTAGATTGTACATAGAAACCATTCATATACATTTTGTTTCCCAAATTCGAAAAAACAAGAGGAATATGGTAATATACGGTAGGCACAAAAATCTTTGGTAATTGTTTTTCTTTCCAAGTGTTTGAAAGAATTCTGGAGATAAGGCCTAATCCTTTCTCAAAAGATTGTGTTTTCACTTGAAGACCTTTTTTTTTCCTTCTCCTGCCAATTCACCCTCTTTTTTAGCAATGATGAAAGCCCACTCACTCCTACACCCTCAGCCCCTACGCCGTCCAGATCCTTTTCTATTTTTCAATTTTGGAGATGTGCTGCAAAGCAAGGCCTCTTCGAAACAATGATCATGCTAATCTGAAGACTACTGTTTCACACAACTTCCCATATCAACCACCACAAAAATTCATCATGCTCAACCTCCCCCTTGTCAGTACACTGCGCTCTTGCCCCATATTCATTTGATCCCTCATCCAGTTTGCCATCTACTCCATCCTTTCAACTTTCTATCAAAAGTGTGTCTATCAAACTAGTTTTGGTTGGTCATTTCTGAACTTATCTTGTAAGTTGTAACTAAGATATTTCCGGTATTTATATCTACTTAGTTAAAGTTTTTGTTGTTTTATTCCTCCCAACATTTTTGGTCTTTTTCCTAGTCCATATTCATCTTAATATCTTACAACTTAATTCGTAACAAGCCTTCTTATCCAAAGATAATTAACAAGCACCTTTGAATCAGCTATTTCTCTTTTTCAGATAAGTTTTTCAAGCAACTAGTTCTCGTGACATTCAACACAAGAAATTTTATCGGAAAAAAAAAAAAAAAGATGAAGACAATGGAGTGCTTTCAGATTGGGAATAGAGTGGTGTCCACTCTTTCCAATCTGAAATCACTAAGAGTTTCTTTTATGTCAAACAATTAGAACACTTGAAACTTCGGTCAATCTTAAAGTTAGATAGAAGTGAAAAGAAGAGGATGAAATGACCACTATTACATCTTTAGCTTTCCAATTTTTACTTATATAAGTGAGAAAACATTGGTTCACAGCCCATTCTTCAGGTACGTATGGCTAATTAGGTGGTGTCCGGATTGCTACGTAACACTCAAATATCACATAAATATTTACACCACTTAATTCTTTAACATGTTCCTTCACTTGTCAAAGTGTAAAACTATGATCAGTTAACTGTGTATGCTTAGCTAGATTATAAAAAAATGAAAATGGGCATTTGGTCATTGAAAGATACTTTCAGTGTCCACGTTTTAGAACTCTTTTACAGTGTCTTCTAGGTTCCAGGTTTCTTCTGTAGTGCATATAAGCACAGTCTGCATTAAATTCCAGGTTCACTGCCAATCATAGGAGGAACATATTGGTCTTCATGACCCTAATGTCATGCAAATGCAGACACGTAAAGGCATCTTATCTTTACGACAGGCATATAGGCAGTAAGCCGATAATAATATAGATAAAGTGAATGACACAAGAGTAAACCCTCCAGAGCAACATTATTAAATCAACTGTGCATGAAGAGAAAAAACCGCCGAAAGGCAGTCAATCACTCAAGCAGAATTTTAGCACTGTTGCATTCTGATCTACACTGTTAGCTTATCATAACAAACATATCTCTTAAAGTGAAAATGACATAGAATGTAGACCAAAATCTCCAAGTATATTACATATTCATCTGCAGCCTCTATGTTCTAGACATACTAAAAGTTCAAAATTGTCACCAGAATGTTTGGTTACTATATGGGCATTTTTGGTTTGGATCAATTTACATGGTTTAAACATATCTTTTATCACAATCAGAATTAGTGTCTTATTACTGTCCAAAAGATATTGAGCAAATAAAACCATCATTTCATTGAATTTGATTATATTTTAACCATTTATCTAATAATCAAATTCCTAAATAATTCAAACCAAACAGGCCAAGATAAAGTACACTTTCTTACTTGTGCCCACATATTTCTCTAGCGAAAAGATTATTTTTTTACAAATTATTCAATAATCAAATTTAGAATCTGAATCAAAACCAAAAAAAAGGAATATCACAATAAAAAAGCATAATACAATAGAAACCAATAGTACAAAAGCAGATCCAAATGAAAAAGGAAAAAGGGACTTACGAACTCTTTGACGATTCCCTTGTAAATCAAGACAGGGACAGCAATACCGAAGATACCGACGATAGCGAGGTTCCGACGAGTCCATCGGAAGTTGTGCTCAAGGTTCTCCCTAGCCGCTCCCCATTCCTCTATCCACCGGTTCTTGTTGTACTCCATTCCCCCTCCCATCTCTCTCACCGCTGGGTGAAGTCCAAAATGATTAGCTGCTTTGCTACTGGGAAGAGAAGGGTAAGACAATTTATTTTTCTTATGAAATGACGGGAGTGCCCTTTTGGGGTTGTCATTTGACTGTTTATTTACTTTAATTTTTTAGGGCAAAATGGCCTTCGGGTCACCTAAATTTGCACTTATTTACATATAAATTAGTCTCAAGATACGTGTGTGTACCTCATCCCTATGAGTGCTTGAGTTATAAAATAAAAGTGTAAGTTTATGAAGATGATTATGAATATTGATGGCGTATAACTAACTCAATAAAGAAATAATCTATTTAATAAAAATCTTTAATCATTAGTCTATAATTCAACTAAAATCTATTTCAGTTTTATAATGTCCTAATTGCAATTTCACAAGTTATCGTGTTTCCTTTTAGTTTCAGCAAGAACATGTATCAATAGGTAACTAATAATCTACGAATTACAAATAAACACAAAATCAAAATACAATAAAAATCAAAAAAGACACTCAAAAAAGGATAATAAAGCAAGCTAGTGAAAGACTGAGTTCAAATATATTGTATGAAAATGTATTGTAGCGCATATATATGGTTCAAAAGTTACATGGAAAGAATTTATATGGTTATTATAAACTTTTCAAATAAGAACATAATTTATATAAGGTTAAATTTTGATTGATCTCCAAATGCTAATAAAAATATGGACTTGGTTCAATAAGGAGGATTTAATTTTAAAAAAAAATAGTTGGATCTCAAGATAATAAATATTAGTAAAAAAAATAACATTTAACTAATTATAATTATTTTGCAATGGAAACTTTATGAGCAAAGACTCTTTTTTACAAGTAGCTTAAAATACTACTTGTCTTCTTAAATAAGTAGTGGTAGCTAACATTACGAGTGTCACTAAAGACTAGTGAGAGAAGGTCTTCCTTCTCTCTACTCTCACAATCCCAACCATGACGAATCTCAGCCAAAATGATAGTAATTTGGGAACTTCTATTCCGCCAAAACATCCTGATATTGCAAAAATTCACCCACAACACAACTCGTCTGATCAGGACAACTCGTATAAGGATAAACTTCTGGGAAAAATCCAAATTCCTCATGAACATCAAAGTGAAGACCTACCTTCACCTATGTCCATGAATGTTCAACACACTGCGACTATCTCATGCCTACAAAAGACAGAAGAGACCAGGATAAAAAGTATAGTTCTATCAGATCAGGATATCCAAAGGATTTATAAACCATGAAAATTTTCAGTGATAATCAAATTGAAAGGAGAAAGAGTTCTTCATCACTATCTAAGAGCAAAAACACAAAGTCTTTGGAGACCGATGATAACTAGGGATTATGATGCATTTTACACTCCTTCTTGCTTAAGTTTTGATTAGAAATGTATACAAAATAGTCTCAAAGGCTCACAAGTTGTACTATTGCAGGTTTGATCAACAAGGTGATAAGGTGTCAAAAACCAGCTCAAAAAGGAGTGAAACTTTCACAAGTACCAAGACCAAGACCAAGCTCAGTTAAATAGGGCCAATGCGGCGATACACCATTTTGTGTGGTCCGCAAAGATGAAGATCAGAGAGTATGCTTCTCAGTCAGCCAGGCAATGCGGCCGCAAAGGACTTTGTGCGGTTCGCATTGATTCTACTACGGCCGTACTCGATTTCGTGTGGTCCGCAGAGCCAAAGTTCAGAGAGGTGACATTTTGGGAAACCTGGTCAATGCGGTCCGCAGTCCATTTTGTGCGGATCGCAATAGAAGCCACCGCGGTCGCGGTGCATTTTGTATGGTCCGCGGTGGCCAACTTAAGAGAGTACATTAGTCAAGCCAAGAGCCTGAGTGCTGCCGCACTCAATTTTGTGCGGTCCGCACTAGCCCTGTATGGGTATTTTTGTCCAGAATTTTTAGCCTAGTATAAATAGTTTCTTTTCCCATTTTTAGGTCAATAGATAGATTTTGGGACACAGTTGCGCTCGTGACTTCTTCTCTTTTACCATTTTGAGTAATTTTAGCTTAGTTTCAACATTGAATCTTCAAGTTTTATTTAGTAATTAATTATTATGTGTTTTTCTTCATCTATTTCTTTATTTTCTTCTATAATTATGAGTAGCTAGACCCCTTAGCTAGAGTTGAGGCTCAACCCTAGTGTGGGTAATTGATGGGTCTTGTGTTTTGATGCTTGATTATCTATGAGTGTTTGATATTTGGACTAATTTAGGGTTTTAATGTTGAATTAGTGGTTGCAACCACTAGTTTATGCCTAGTAGACTTTGGCTCTTCTTGAGAAAGAGAGCCTAAGTCCATAAAATTAGTCCAATAAGCAATTGAGGCGTATTCAAGAGATTGATAGCCCCAATTAAAGGGTTAAACCTAGAGATAGTAATACCCGACTTGAACCTCAATTGCTTGTACAAATTTGCTTACCCAATTGGTCTTGAGAAAGTCAATTCGTGCAAAATCACTCGAACTACCGAGAGGTATAGAGTGAGTAGAATCGTGCAATGGTTATATCATATTTCCCAAATGTGATAATCTAGCCTTAGACTCAAGAATCCGTCAATTAACCACCTAGGATAAAGTCACTACCCTAGTGCCTTTTATCTATTTGATCAACTCTCAATATTTTAATCTTAGCTTTAATTAGCTTAATTTAGCATCGTAGTAATATAAAATTAGAAGTAAAACCAAAACAAACAATGTTTAGAAGTGCAATTAGGAATAATTACACAATTCCCATTTAGATAGAAACTCAACTCCAATATCTAGCTCCCTGTGAAAATAGATCATGACCTTCTCGGGTAAAAGCTGCTTCAACCTATCTTGCTACTTCATAGTAGTACAGGGTTGGCCTCGATTACTTTTTGGCGCTGTTGTCAGGGAGCTAACGATTTTGGCTATCTATCTAAATAGTTTTGTGTATTGTTCTTCTTTCCTTCTGCGTTACTAATTTGTGTGTGTCACAACTTCAGGTACTAAAAGGCAGCAAACAACGCACCTCTTGGAGATATTCTGCCAGGGGAGGAGGTAGATGACAATATCGATGATGAGGTCCCTGTGGTACCTCAAGCTCAGAGGAGAGGCCGACAGGCCAATGATAATATTCCAGACCCTCCCCCTTCACCTTCAAGAATGGCTCCTCGAGTGCTTCCAAACCAAGGCTATGCAAGTGCAATTGTCCCACCCCGGATTCAAGTGGGAAATTTTCAAATTACCAATGTGATGCTGACATTGCTGGAGCAGCGTGGGTATTTCACGGGCGTTGCCAATCAAAATGCTTACAAACATCTTAAGGGTTTTGTGGATACCTGTTGGGAGAGCAAGCAAACTAATGTGTCCGAGGATGCACTTCGGTTGCGACTCTTCCCATTCTCACTTAGAGGGAAGGCATTGGATTGGCTTGAGCGACTTCCCAACCATTCCATCACTACTTGGGATGAGTTGGCCGACACATTCATTGCAAAAAATTTCTCACCAGGGCATATGGCAGCATTGAGAGATGAGATCTTGGCTTTCAAGAAGGAACCCAATGAACCTTTGCATGAGATGTGGGAGCGCTATAGAACAATGGTAAAGGAATTCCCCAACAATGATATGATTGAAGCGATGATCCAACAGATTTTCTATCGGGGCAGTAACACAACAAACCAGTGCATAGTGAACTAACTTGTTGGGGGAAACTTCATGAAGTTGTCTTATGATGAGGCTCAACATTCTTGACGAGATGGCTAACACTTCTTCTGCTTGGCAAAGTATAGCCAATATGCCCCAGGGTGACCCCACGGTCACTCATTTGCACAAGGAGTTATATGATCATGGGTAGGCTATAGCTGAGTTGACAATTACAATGAACCAACTAGTAAAGGTACAGTTGCAACAAGTTCAAAATCCTCGCCAAGTGAATGCCATGGAGGATGTCAATATGCTAGTCAACAAAAGAAGACAAAGAGGTCAACAGAACCAAGGGAATTCGGAGCAATTTGAAAATGATTATGGTGGATTCCAAGATGATGGTTATGATGGGAAGAATGAAGAGGTGCAATACGTAAACAATTATCAAGGCCAAAGGGGCAATTCTTCCAACCAACAACAATGGAGACCCCAAGGCAATTGGGGCAATTAACAACAACAAGGCAATGATAATTGGGGGAACAACAACCAAAACTCCAACTGGGGCAATCAGAACAATTAGGGGTGGGCTTTCGGTATTTTGGTTCGGTATTTAAGAATTTAGGTTCGGTATTTCGGTATTCGATTTATCAATTGTGTATACCAAATACCGTACCAAATTATTTCGGTATGGTTCGACATCTTTTATTTTGGTTCGGTACGGTTTCGGTATAGCTTCGGTTTAATAATCGCTAAATAAATAAACTTATTTTGGTTCGATACTGTAGCACCAAACTGGAAACAACAAAATTGACAAACAATTTTTGTCGAGAAACAAAATTGACAGAAACTTGCTATCAGACATTCATCATTCATGATTTCATAATGGAAATAGGAAACACTATAAATAGATGGAAATCTAAAAGATGTAGTATTAATTAAAAAGGAGTAGACTTCAATGTTGTAAAACTCTCCGGTAAGAACAACGCTAATTATAATATATAGTTCCATTCTATAAACTATAAGCTACGGAATCCTTAATAAGACAAAGAAGGCACTGATGAATCAAGAACAAGAAGGTTGCAAAATATAGAAACTAATAAAATACTTATATAAAGGCTTACGAGACAGAAAGTTGAATTGGCATATAGAAACATTTGAGATGGATGGAAATATTTTCCTTCTGGTGCTGCTAATCTGCTAATGACCTGTGGCATTTCTGATGCAACGAGTGAGCTGAAGAGTAAACTCCTCTGCAGTTAGTATTCCAAATGTGAAACAATGAAATGCCCTCCAAGTGAAGCCTACCCCACATGACTGCATGTGACGACTCTCTCATCGCTGCTTCCTTGCAATCTAACTATGTTAACTCCAAAGATACAAAAAAGGTTTGGGCTTGGGCGTTGGGGCTGGGCAGTGAGATATAGGTCCAAGTCTAACTTTAAAA